CCCAGCGTGCTCCTGCCAGCAGGGCCGAGGAGCGAGAGTCAGTAGATCATCCCAGCAAGCAAATATTAAATTTTTACAAGCTGGCCAACCTTCCTGCCCAGGAGGTAAACACTTATGTTACTAAATAAACATTTTCTTCTGCTGCTCACTAAAAGCTCGGTTTCCTTGCAGAGCAGCTATATTTCCCAGTTTATTTGCAATTGGGATGGGAGTTACAGGCATTCCCCCAGTTTTTCTCTAAACATCTTTCCAGCTAGGTGGCAAAGACTTACATTGTGCTCTTTTTGTTCGTTTATTTTTGTTAATCCTCACTTGAGGAGATTATTTTCATTGACTTTTAGAGAGAGTTGGAGGGAGGGGAGGGTAGACAAAGAGAGAGAAACACAGATGTGAGAGAGACACATCGATCCGTTGCCTCCTGAACGTACCCTGACCAGGGCCGGGGATCGAACCTGCAACCCAGGTACGTCCCCTCGACTGAGAATCAAACCTGAGACCCTTCGGTGTAGGGGGCCAACACTCTAACCACTGAGCAACACTGGCCAGGGCATCCCGTGCTATTTTCTATTAGATAAGCCTCCGTTCACATATATCCTGCATTCATTTTTTATCACCCACCTTTGTTTTCACCATAGAGGTTGCATAATGAGACGACCAAAAATATATGTAAAGAAAAAACAAAAACAAGATCACTCCCAGCCACAACATGCAAAAGAATCCCCTTTTTTATTAATTTTCTGCTAGTCTTCTGTGCCTCTATTTCCACCACGGAGATGTATATCTGTATGCATGTGACACATGCATTTATATGGTGGAATGATATTATGCACAATTTTTTGAATTATGCTATCACTTATTTTGTATCATAAAATATCATTTTTGTCTATGTTATGACATACTTTTTAAAACCAACTGAGAACATGGTTTACTGTAAGAGCATGATCCATTTATTTAATCTTACTGTTTTCAAGTGTTTTATCGTTATAACTAATGTTTCATAAAAGCCTTTTTGTAGTTAGGACTCTCCTTATAAGACAGAGCCCCTATTGTTGTCCTATAGGGTCATGGTCTTGGGCATATTATGACACTTCTTTCCAAAACGCTGTCATAGCCATTTCCAGTGCCAGCATCAGTGTATGTGAGTGCCCACATCACTCTTTCCCTACCTCTCAAAATACAGTGTGCCTACTGTCACCAGGCATACTGCAGAGGTAAAATTGATTTCATGTAACAAAGCAAGCCTTAAATGAAAATCTGCTGAAAATCTTGTCTGGAAAATAAATCTAATTACTGTAATTCACAGTGAAAGCCAAAAGAGGCATCCTGCCCCACTATTATTATATTATTCTTACTACTAGGAAGGTACTTCGTTTGTCAGAGTACTTTATCATCGCGTGTGTGTTAATCCCCATAATATGCTCTGGAAGCAATGATGCTATTTATAGCTGGACTTTCTGAGCTGAAAACCTTTCAAAAGTCCCGTTGTCTTGATTTCTAAACTCATGGGCACCTGCCTATCAATCCACAGAGCCACTCTCATTTGTAGGATGTCATGGGTGGGAGGGGTGGAAGTGGCTATTTGGTTCAAACAGATCAAGTGGTCACTGATGTGGGGCGCAGAATTTTCATAACACCCGAGAAGAATTGGCTTTCTTCTCCAGTCCCCATGCCTCCGTGAAACTGTGGCCTGCCATCAGCCACGGATGATGGAACTGCTATTTTAAATTTAACACCTCTGTGCTGCACCGTTACCTTGGGAGTAAAAGTCTGCACTCAACAGAATTCTTACCATTTTGGCAACTACTGGAATCATCTGATTTATAGCTAAAGCCACAGCAATAATATTTACACCCAACACCACCACCGGAAGTTTCTGGGACCTAAAAACTGACCATAATTGAGAAATAACATTAATGAACTATTGGTAACCACGCAAATACATTTCTCTAAACAGTGGGCTTTCTCCCCCCCCCACCCCTGATTGGGGAGAGACCCGAGTTCTTTAGTAGAGACAAGAAATAAATTCATCAAAGGCCGAGAACCACTCATCCGCTTCAATGCTTAGCCTCCGAAACGCCTGGTTTGGAGCGGCAGCTGGAGGCTGCAGAACCACGAGTCCCCGCAAGCACACAGGGGCCGTGGGGGCGTGGGAAGGCCGTCTCACCCCACGTCGGAAAGCGGAGGGGAGAGCCCTGGCTGGCTGGCCATTCCCCTTTCCTCCTGAGATGTACAACCGAAGTCACCACGCCAGCCGGACAGAGCGACAAGGGGAAGCTGAGAGCCTCACCCGAGTGTGTGATCACTGGTTGCTCGAGTCTCCCAACCCCCCCCCCCAGGAGGGCAGGGAATCGGAGGTTCTGCTAACCTGCTAGCTGACGACAGGCACATAAGGGGCCCAGCAAAGGAACCATCCAGGCAAGGGCGGCACCAACGGCCAAGCTAACAAACGAAGTTCTTTCCAACCAAATAAGCTTAGGGTGAGTTGGTTGGCAGCGAAAGCTAACTGGTGTGAGAGCTAACTAACGAAAGAGTTAACATGGCCTGCGCCCGGCCGGGTGTGGCTCAGCAGTTGAGCGTCANTGTGGCTCAGCGGTTGAGCGTCAACCTAGGATCCAGATCGAGGTTCGATTCCCGGTCAGGGCACATGCCCAGGTTATGGGCTCGATCCCCAGTCGGGGGCATGCAGGAGGCAGCCCATCAATGTCGACTCATCATTGATGTTTCTCTCTCTCTCCCTCTCCCTTCCTCTCTCTGAAATCAGTAAAGATAGGTATTAAAAAAAATTCTTAAAAAAATGACCTGCTGAAAATCAGTCAGCAATATAGTGGCATCAATGTGAAATTGAACTAGGCCTGAGCCAGGTATATTAGTTAACTGATTGAATAAATATATCTTCAGGTTATTAATGAAGTCCCCTAGATTCAGCTGTTAACCAAGTAAACATTTATAAAGTATATGTGTTAAGTACTTTGTTAAGATACTAGAAATACAGAAAATGAGGCATGCTTTCTGTCCCCATAAGTCCCACATTCTACTACAAAAGACATAACGTAAATAGATAAATAAAATACAATGTAATATAAATAATGACAGAAAGATGCACAGGGAATTACAAGCTGATAGAAGGGAAGCCCCAACCCAGACCGACACCTCCAGGTGAGCTTCCTGGTCGAACGATGCCAATGTGAGGTCTGAAAGGGCAAGAGGAGTTTGCAGATTAGGGTGGGAGGAGAGGAAGGACAAGGGGAGAAATGGGCAGACAGAGCTGCCTGATGACACACAGCAGGTAGGGGACACCCCAGAGAGGATGGGCGCTGCGAGCGGGCAGTGTGGCCGGAGCATGAAGGATCAGCCAGGGGGAAGGAGGGAGAACACTGCTGGGAATGACATCCGATCCCGTGGCTCAGTAAGGAGATTCAGTTCTCTCCCCGTGACCAGGAGAAGTCCACGAAAGGCTTGGAGAAGTCAGACTTGCCCGTCTGAACTTTCAGTCTGGCCTTAGAGAGGGCGGATCTGGGGAGACGGGAAGCACCAGTGCCCGGGAGAGACTATGCCCCTGAATTATGCCAGTCACAGTGGGATGGAGAGGAAAGGGTGGGATGGAAAAAGATGTTCTAGGAAGAACCCAGAGGCACTGATAATAGGGGGGCTGGTCAGAGGACTGAATCCAAGATGAGCCCCATTTCGTGCAGTGTCGGCAGCTCTCGGGCGTCTACCGTTTCTCCCGTCTCTGTTGATTCCATTGACAGTTGGATTCCAGTATAAAACTTCCCACTGATCACTGTTCAGTTGAACTCGGAGCTTTTCGTGACTATTCCTACTGCTGAGAACATTCTGGATCCTGACCCGCTCATCTGACACATTCCCATTCTGTTGGCTGCAGCTCTGGGTAAGCGTCATCCAAACCCGTGGTAAGACATTTTGGGCAGAGCCAAGGACACTGGCCGGATCTGGAGAGTCAACCTGGATAACACCCTAAGTATGCCGGGATATACAGTGAGGGGACCGAAAAAAAGTCCCAGGAGAAAAGCAGAAGCAAAGGCCGGGAGTTTAACGGGGAGAAGCGATGACGCAGGAGGGCACTATCACCTCCTGGAGGAAGGGGAACCTATCCTTTGTGTCGCTGGTTCCATGCGGACCCATGAGGGCCATGGACATCAACTGCAGACTGGAAATTTTCCCTTTAATAGAAGGCAGGACCTTTCTAATGGTCAGAAATGCCCAAAGGTGGGATGGGCTACACTGCAAAAGAGTCACCAACTTATGTTAGTTTGCTAGGGCTGCTGTAACAAAAATGCCACTGAGTGGACACAAAATACCACAGACTGAGTGGCTTAAACAACATAAATGTGTTTCTCACAGTTCTGCAAGCTGGAAGTCCAAGACCAAGGTGTCGGCAGGGCTGGTTTCTTCTGCGGCCTCTTATCTTAGCTTGCAGGTGCTTGTAAATGCCATCTCCTCCCCGTGTCCTCACATGGTCTTCATACTGCGAGGCTGTGTCCTAATCTCTTCTCATAAGGACACCAGTCAAACTGCATTAGGGCCCACCCTACTGACCTCATTTAATTGAGTTACCTTTTTAAAGAGCCTACATTATCTCCAAATCCAGTCACATTCTGAGGTACTGGGGACTCCAACAGATAAAGTTTGGGGGAGAGCAACACATGCAATTCAGCCACAACCTATCAACAGGGACGTGTAAACAGAGAGGTCTAGTGGCTGTCAGGCAACGAAGGCTGGTGGAGAAGCTGAAGCATTAAATCTGGGCTGTCCTTGAAGGTCCCTTCAGGTCTGAGAGCCACAATTCTACACACTGCAAGACAGCACCTAATCTACTGAACATTATTAACACAATAATCTCCCCAAGGCCTCAGACGAAAATTACATTTTCATGGCAGCTTCAATGACTGATGTAATGGTTTAACCCTGGTTTAACTCTTCCCCATGGAAACACACATGGGCAGCCAGTCACGCCTGCAGACTGTAGGCATCGCGCTCACCTGTGAAACAGGACAGACTTGACCAAGGTGACAACGTCCCGGCTGGCGTTATATCCCGCGCAGACGATAGCAACGTGGATTGTCTGGGAAGCAAACAAAACAGGGCGAGCATTAGACAGATGGAAGGGGCCTGCCTGGTGCTTCCGACCCCACGACAAAGAAAAACACCCTCATTGCTTGTTGGGATCATCAGAAAACAAAGAACACAGGCTGCAGTGCTGGAAAATAACTCGAGAGCGTTTTATCAAAGCCTTTTTAATCGGTTTATGGAGCTATCATCATTTGCAAACCATTAAGGCCTCTTTTCAATTACATTTTGGGGGCTAGAGAAATGGCAATGGGCTCAAACAGACAAACAGTGAGTTCCCTGCCCCCAAGCTGGGAGACAATGACAGCTGGTAACCAGAGAGAGGAAAGAAATACGCCCCGGAAGGATGAACTGACCATCGGGGACCTCAGCCTGGGAGGGGATGGCTCGGGGAGCTTGTGAAGTGTTCTCACGAGGCGTCTCAGTTTCGGGTCAACTTGGTAACGCGGCAGAGGGACCAATAAAGACTTATGGGCCGCAGCCGGGGTGTCGTGCAAAGAACTGGAGAGAGGCAGAAATGAAGGGAACCTGATGGGTCAGCTCATCTAAGTAGGCAAGAGCATGGGCCCCAGGCATGAGTGAATGAATCCTGGCTCCATCCTTTAACCCAAGGTGACCCTGCTAAAGTTGTAGTGTCAGGTGATTCCCTAGCACATAAAGGGCATGACATGTCCTGCAGAATGTCACGGAGTATGTGAGGGGACGGCGCCAGGAGCAGATTACGGTGCTCGGCACACTGCATTCCAGTCACAGCACAAATGTCCTTGAGAACTATGCTTCCCAAAAGGGGTGTCTTGGCACCATGGTGTGCTGGACATGAACTCCAGGTGACAAAGATACTTTCCTCTTCAAGTCTCCAGGCTACCAGGCAGGGCTGGCCCTCAGGCTTGGCCACCCTCTGCTGCCAGCAACTTTTCCCATTTCCCTCCTAGCACCACACAGTTATCATTTTCTATGTGGGCTACGACTTGACAAAGATCGAAAAGTACTGCTCTAGGGCACCGCCTACGGGAAGTCATCCAGGCTTCCTTAAAACAGCTCCAGGAATGGAGGGTTCATGCCGCTCCATGTTGTCTCTTTTACCAAAGCACAGTCTTCTTTGCATCCACACCTGCCTCCTGACCCCAATGTAGCTGTCAACTAGGGTTCATTCCTGATGCCACTGGGCTCAGGGAGTGACTTTTACTTCTAGGACCTGCAGGAAGAATTCAGGCATGATAAGAGCATTTTTTGGAGTTTCCAATGTAACAGAAAAAAAGTCCCCTAGGGTTGTTTTCTCATATATGCATTCAGGGGGAAAAATAATCATCGTCCCCAAAGACATTCAGACCAAACTAAAGGCTGACAAGAAAATGGTGGCCCTGGCAAAAGCCATCAACACTCCGCCCAGCCCTGTTGCCCTAGCAACACCATCAGCAGTGACCCAAAAGGCCTGGTACATCCTTCAGGGCACTGCGCCTGGGGGCACAATTTAGGGAAAGCGGCTCATATCCGGGGAACTGCAGGAGTGGGAGTGAGAGGGGAAGCCGGTTTAAAAACCGTGAAAAGTTAGGCTCAGTGCAGATTCTGGGCAGCGGCTGCAGGCCCTGCATGAGGGCAGGTGGGGGGCAGCTGCGGTCCCGGGGCGGCCGGGAGAAGCACACAGCTGGGGTCCGAGGCAGGAATGAGTCAGTGACGAAACCAGCAACAGCCAAGAGACCTGGGTTTGAGTTGCACCTTCAGAGCTGAGTCACCCTGCGACCTTGGAGCAGTCACTTAACATCCCTGAGCCTCACTGGCTCATCTGTAAAATGGGGATAAAAGGGGCACCTCAGGGCTGCTGCGGGAATCAGACGGGGTGCGAGCAGGTGCGCCTGGCGAGCTGCTGCTCATTCACGTTCACTGGACATGCAGGCGGCGGCAGGAGACGCCGACAGGGACATCCGGCCACTTATCCTCAAGAGGATGCTGAGGCCCGGCCGGGTGTGGCTCAGCGGTTGAGCGTCGGCCTAGGATCCAGGCGATCGGGGTTCGATTCCCGGTCAGGGCACATGCCTGGGTTGCGGGCTCGATCCCCAATCAGGGGTGTGCAGGAGGCAGCCGATCAATGACTCTCTAATCACTGATGTTTCTATCTCTCTCTCTCCCTCTCCCTTCCTCTCTCTGAAATCAATAAAGAAATATTAAAAAAAAAAAAAGAGGATGCTCAGGAACCACCCGGGCATAGCAGTGAGCAAAGGAGACCCAATCCTTGCCCCCACCACGGGAGCTGACATTCTAGTTGGGGGACACGGGAAACAGACAGACAGACAAACATATACTTAATTAAGACACACAGAGGGTGGGCTGATGAGAACCACAGGACGGAAAATGAAGCAAGGGAAGGAGGGCCTGGGTGTGGGTGGGCAGTAGGGCCGAGATGTTACGGGGGGGTGTCAGGGCAGTTATCACTGAGAGGTGACATTGGCACCCAAATCTGAATTAATGAGGAAAGGAGCCTGTAGGTATCCAGGCCGAGCGCTCCAGGCAGTGGACAGAACAAGGGAGCCGATGCGCAAGGACTGCCCGGGAGACAGGCAGGAGGTGGCAGGCGAGGTGACACCCGAGGGAGCAGGGAGGCCGCCCCCAGCTCTGCCATCTGCAAGAACTCGCCTCTCCCGGTGTGTGAGGAGAAGCCACTGGAGGGCTCAGAGCTGAGAAACGGCCCGACCTGACTTCCATTTTCAAAGGCTCACTCAAGGTGCCAGTTTAGAGCAGACTTTCTGTGTGGGGGCGTGGGCGTGGGTGGGGCAGGGGGCAGGCGAGGAAGCAGAGAACAGTCCAGAGCCACTGCAATAAGCCCAGTGTGGTGGGCGCTGCCCAAACGCCCCTTCCACCAGGCGCATGCTGCTGGGTTGCTGAGTGCTGTCCCCAGGCAGCCACGAGCTGTCACACCCGCAGGGATTGCCTGGAGGCAGAGCGCCACCTCTCCAAGGTCAGCCCCTTCTGGGGGTGACCACATCCAAAAACCCCAAAGCACCCTTGGGTGCTGGCCCCACAGACTCGCTTCCAGAGACAGTCCCCATGAGAAGCCCCATCTCAGCGTGTGCACAGGAAGCAAGAGGTGATGCGGGGCAGCAAGGCAGTGGGGGAGGCGAGAGAGGCCAGGCGATGGGCTCTTTCAAAACCCTTTGTGATCAGTTTGCAGCCGGCTTCTCCAGTGGAGGAAGCAGGGTATCATCCGTCCTGAGATTTACAACCAGTGGGGGGGGATATGGAGGAATTGGGTCCCCTGTGTGCTGAAGCTGAGAGTATAAAATGGTGCAGCCACTATGGAAAAGGGTGTGGTGGTTCCTAGAACAATTAAAAATAGAATTACCATATATCCAGCAATCCCATGTCTGGATGGACACACACACACACACACATCTAACAGGAGGAAGCAACCCAAGTGTCCATTGTCAGATGAACAGATAAATAAAATGTGGCATATATATATATATATATGAATATTATTCAGCCTTGAAAAAGGAAGGAGATCCTGTCACATGCTATAGCATGTATAAACTTTGAGGACATTATACTAAGTGAAATAAGCTGGTCACAAAAGGACAAATGCTGAGTGATCCATCCTACTTACATGAGGTACCTAAAGGAGGCACATTCATGGAGACAGAAAGTGGAGTGGTGGTTGCCAGGAACTGGGGAGAGGGAAAAGGGAGCGTTGTTGTTAACGGGTACAGAGTTTCAGTTCTGCAAGATGAGAAAGTTCTGAAGGTGTGTTACACAACAACATAAACACACCGAGCACTAAGCGAACTGTACGCTTAAAAATGGTTAAGGGGGAAAGTTCACGTTCTGTAGTTTCACTGCCCCACAATTAAACACAGAAAAGATCCACGGTGTGGATCTGTGATCCTTTAGCTATGTGGTTTCGACGAGCCTCAACCTTCCCATTTATAAAATGAGGGTGATTACAGTGATCCCATGTGCTAGCACATGTCAAGTGCAACTCTAACGCCCAACACCTGCGCAGGAAGTGGAAGCAGATGTGACTGGTGTCATTACCGCCAACAGCCCGCCCCGTCTCCCACGGCGCTCCCGCTCCAACCAAGCCGGAGGACTCGCTAAGCCATCTTATTTCTGTAATGTGCCCTCAGGTTAGGGTGCCCTGGTGTGTCACCTCACCTATCAAACTCCTCCACATCTTTGAAGATACAATACCACCTATTGGAACCTCAGCTTTCTCATTTATAAAAAAAAAAAAAGGGTCATAAATATGTCAACCTCCAGGGCTGCTGGACAGATTGAGATGATTCATGTAAAGGGCTTAAAGTTGGGCATCCTGTAGGTCGTAAGTCTGTATCTACCGTAATTATTATTAATTGTTATTGTAAAAAATTTATACTATGAGATAGCTCTATAGTCAAGGCCTTGAGCCTTAAATATTCCCCAAAGTCAGGCCTCAGTTTCCCCCTTCTGCCCTCACCCCCCCTCTCCCTCGAGTAAGAGCTGGGACAGTCTCTCCCCCTGTTGAAAGGAGGCTTCGGATTTGCCCGGTTCCCTCTGCCCCATCAATGTTGATGCTCCCTTTATCCCCGCACACACGAGGGGGCAGAAGCCACAGGAATGAGGAGAGGAGCCACCAGAATCACTCGGCATCTGGGCCACGATGACAACTATGAAAAATTAGGACAGAACTCTTGTTTTTCTCTACTTCAGCTTCAGCATCTTTAAAATGAGACAGCTGCCTCTTTGTTTCTGTTGTTGGTACATTTTCAAAAATTAATTTTACAAGAGAATGCAATATCTGGAGCAGATCAAGGCGGGCCTGCTCAGGAGGCAGACAGGAGGCTGCCGGACAGGTCCCTCGCTATCGCCCCAGTGCGGCGGCCAGCCTCCGAGGCTGTCCTCACGGACCCCTGCCGGCCAGTGTTCACGGTACTGCGTAAACTCTCCTGCACTACCAGGGCTGATGCGTATGGCCAACAGAACTTGGCAGAAGCAATGGCATATGTCCAAGGCCAGGTCATAAAA